ATACCTGCTTAGTCTAAGAAACTGAATGCCTCAGTAGTCCCAGTTCAATGCTGGAAGCCTGAAAGCTCCCTGGAGAGTTGCTGATAGCCAGTCAATGTTGGAAGGATGAAGATGCTGGGGTCTTATGTCAGTGGAGAATCACATCAGCAGCAGTAGTAATGGACACACCTGTTCAAGAAGGGAAGGCAAGTGTACACATATTGCTTTCCTTGGCTCTCTTTCCATCTGGGTTGCCCACTTTGAGGGTGGATCTTACCCCCCTTTTTTTAATCATTTCTGGAAATGTTCTCACAGACTTGCCTGTAGTTGTGCCTCCTAGTTGATTTTTAAAAATATTGTATTTATTATTTTTATGTTATGTGTATGAGTGTATTGACATGTGTGTAAGTGCACCCATATTAAGCAATGCTCGCAGAGGTCAGAAGAGGGTATTGGATTCCCCCAGAATTGTAATTACTGACAGATGTTAGCTGCCATGTGCTTGGAATTGAACCTGGGTCCTCTGCAAGAGCAACCGGTGCTCTCAACGACTGAGCCATCTCTCCAGCTTCTTCCTAGTTGATTTTAAATCACATCATGTTGATAATGAATATCAACCATCACAACAGCATCATCCTTGATCTTTCCCTTTCTCCCCCAAGAATAATATAGAACTGTCTTGTGTTGTGTTGTTTAATATGATAGCCTCCATCTGTGTTAGGCTATCATTTGAAATGTGGCCAATCCTGGAGCTTATAGAGAGGGCTTCTTCCAGTGGCCAATTTCCCCAACCTCGTGAAAGCCCTAGAAATAGCGGACACACTCATGTTGTTGTAAATGGATTTTCTCCATCAATTCATGAAAAGTAAAGTGAAAATCAATATATGTAGTAGCTGTGCCTTAAATCTTATTTGCACTCTCTCTCTCTCTCTCTCTCTCTCTCTCTCTATATATATATATATATATCCAAGGAAGTACAGTACATGAAATTAGGAAAGGGGTAGTTGGCAGGGGATTGCAGATGGGGGAAGGGACTAAGTTTGATCAAAATATATGAAATTTGCAAAAATTCAATAAAATTAATATGTAAAAGTCAAGAGAAGAAAATACTGTAATGAATGCCCTGGCCACTTAAAGGTTCAGTAGACAGACTATTTCATGTGAATGTGGTTTGTTAACATTAGTGCATGTAGTATAACCAAGGAAATTAAATCTTTGGCAATTGGGTACCTCTTTGTCTGAAAGCATTCATTTTGGACAAGAATGCTGTATAGTGAAATTAGGCCCTTCTGTTATGCACGCTGTGACCTTCTCTTCCCACGCTGGCCTTATGATAACTGACCAAACCAACAAATGTGTTTGAGTTTCCTTGCAGAGTTTGTGATGTCTTGGAGGGGCTTACTTACAAAGCCCACCCGTGGGTTCTTCTCCCTATGTCTCGTCTGAGCTTTCCAGATCTGTGACCGACAGCCTGTGCTGGCCCCCTCGCTACTTCCGAATCTCTCCTTAAGCCCTCTTCCTCAGGCAGTTAAAGCTGACTGATTGGGTGGGAGGGATGCTTGTCTCCCTTCCTTTCTACAGAGTCTCTTAGGGTTCAGACATCCAGCTGTTGCTAGTTCTTTTGGAGGACATGGCTGTCCAACAAATGCTCACACAAAGAGTATAAAATATCGACAGGTAGGCATTGGAAATGATATTTGAGTCTGTCTTAGACAAGACCAAGAGTCTGCTTTATTTAACAACATGTATGTAATAAGCATCTTAAACTTTTTAAAGACATCTCTTAAAAGATACTTAGAAACTTACATGGTTTACGAAACAAGCTCAAGTTAATCATGGTTTTAACGTTAGCACCTCTCCTTAAATGCAAGTATTTTGTTTGGGCAAAAGGAGGAATATAGCACAACAATTTGGAATGAAGAGGAATATTATCTCAAAGCTTGAGTTTTCAAAAATCAGAGTTTCTTTTTGAAGGTTTTTATTGGAGAATTTGGGTCTGGCTTATTTGTAGTGTTCAAATGTGTATGAACTATGGATTTGTGAATATGTGATTTCAGGTGCACCTGAATTTAAAATACAGGCACATCTATTCTAAACTCCTTATTTATAAAACTATGGGTCTAAGACAGGCATGGTGCCACACCTTTAACCCCAGCACTTGAGAGGCAGAGGCATTAACCACTGCTTACTGCAATATGAAGCTTCTCTAAGGGCAGAAGCAGTACAAATCTATGGATATAATGTGACTATTCAGAAGGCGGTTTGACAACATGACCATTTAGAAAAACAACATTAATAGATTCCCTCCCAGGGCCTATAACTTCCCTTGCCATGGGTTTTGACCATATTTATAGTACCATGCATGAACCCTTCAGTGTAGAAGGCCTACAAATTCAGTCAAAAGAGTGGTTGGCAACCCCCACAAACAGTCTTGCCACCATTGATTACATCAGTGAGCACATCTTGTCTGACATGCCAGTATTGCAGCATGCAGGGGCCAGTGCAGGGTAAGACCATTGATGCCTTTTCTCCCCCAGCAGCCTGCATAGCATCTTCCTGCACAGTGAACGTTAGCCATCAGGGAGAGTGTTTTCTGATCAGTTCAAGCATGATTTCTCTGTGTCCTACAACTAAAGTGTATGGTGTTTTCAGCAAAAAGGGTCTTACCATCTAGTTATGGTGGGCAACCAAGAGCAATAACAATAGCCTGTACTGTTTTGGGTGCCTCTTGGACCTTTCTAACCACTAACTTCTAGAGAGGTAATGGGTGGTAACTTGTGTCTGGCACTGAAAGTTTCATTTAATAATCCATGTCTTCTGGGAGCAGCATCATTCACTAATGTGGGATACCTCTGTTCGAAGGAATTGGGAATTAAAAGCCATGGAGGCTAGTACAGGGTACTGGATCACCTAGAACTGGAGTTGCAGATGGTTGTGAGTCACCATGTGGGAGCTGGGAATTTAATGCAGGTCCTCTGCAAGAACACAAGTGTTCTTAACCATTAACTTATTTCTGCAGCTCATAAATCTTCCTATAGTTTTTTATTTATTTATATGGAAGCATTATGTTCTAGCACTACCCTGCTAGAACATAATACTTCCATATAAATAAAGTATTTAGTTGCTGTGTATGTGACCTGTTTTTGTTTGCTTTTGTTTTTGTTTTTTGTTTTTTTTGAGACCCGGTCTCACACCATAGCCCATCCTGGTCTGAAACTCACTATATAACTGAGGCTGGTCTTGTACTTATAACAATCTTCTTGTCCCAGCCTCCTGAACACTAATATCACAGGCCTATACCACCTTGATTAGCTTCCTATGAGCTTTGTTGGTACTGGTTCATTTTATTCTCACAACAATATCATAAAGTAGTATTATTATTGTCATCTCCATTTTACAAGTGAAGAACTGAACTTCAGAGGGACTTAGTAATGCTTTTCTAGGGCTGCTCCTAGCAAGTGGCAGGACCGGGTTTTGAATTCTGATAAGTCTCGTTGAGGGCTGTGCTTTTAATGATTATGCATATTTTTAGCTTTTGGAAACTCTTGTATGGATGTCAGGAAGTTAAAACTCATGGTCTCCAAGCCAGGAGTTACTGTTCCTTCTCTGTCCTCCATTCCCTCTTTACAGAAAATTTCATCCTGATTTTCCTCCTGTCTCATATCTGAATGCTCTTTTCCTTTTAGGCAAGACTGAAGTAAGACATCGTAGACAATTGCTTTGGTTCATCTACTTTCCTCCACTTGATCCCAGTGTCTTACTGAGTCTTCTTTTACTAAATGCTTGAATCAGCACATTCTCCCCATTTCCATTATCTCACTGTAGTTTAAGTCTCTTGTGATTTCTGATTTGAAAATATTCTTGGTTCTTTTCTTGGGGATGGGGTCCTTGTGTGTGTTCTGTGGTACCTGAATTATCTTAGTGCTTTTAAATTATTATTTCATGTGTCTGTTAATCTCCATTAGACTGTGTTCTTTATTTGTGTGTGTGTGTGTGTGTGTGTGTGTGTGTGTGTGTGGTGGAGTCAGGAGAGGATTTCACCAAATGGCCACATTTGGCTTGGAAGTCCGTAGATAGGCCAGGTTGGTCTCAAACTCACACAGATACACCTGCCTCTGCCTACACAGTGCTGGAATTAAAGGAGTGTGCCACCATGCCCAGCTAGACTATATTCTTATAGAAAAACACCTTAAGTCATGATTTTTTTGTTCTTTTATCTTAATATGTGACCTATGGTTAATGCACTGTAAATATTTTGTCAATAGGAGTTTGTCATTGCCCAGCATGTTTGATAGTTTCAATATCAGCATGAACATGCGATAAAGTCAATTCTTGTTTTGATTTTAGAAAGGCGTCTTTTAATGCTTTATTTTTTCAAAGGTTAAAAATAATTTCTTTAATCGCAGTGATCAAGTATAGAATGGGGTCTCTTATATAGTTCATGTTATCTCCAGAATATATCATATAGCAAAATCAATCATGACTGCATATTTGCTAGGATCTTTTTATGGCTTACAATTGTCTAAATCTTCAATTTATTTGTAGATGTGAAATATTGGTTACATTGTGTTGGTAGCCATAGAACAGTGAGAGTGTTTACATTCTTCCCATAGTGCAAAAATGTTAACTCACGTAAATCTCTGCCATGTCAGGTCAGTATGTTAAAAGGGTGAAGGGAGGTGTCAAATCTTTATTCTTTAGTAGAATAAACAATATCTGAATGTTAATACTTAATAATAGGGAATCATAGGAAAATTTTAGACCTATACTAATGCATAGCAGTGAACAACACCCACTAATAATTTCCAAAATTTGTTACACTCCCTGTTAAACTGTCCTGTATTAAATAACTGAAGTTGTTCTGAGGGTATGTGTGAAAGATTGCATTCATTTCCTGTAAGACCACAATTTTCATACACTACATGCTGCCTGCTGTGGGACTGTCTGCCTCTTGCTTTGTTTTTCTTTTTAAATCATGGCTCTGCTTAACTCTTAACTGTACGCTTGTGCTTTATTTGCAGCATCTGGCGAGGCCCCAATGTGAACTGCACAGACAGTTCGGGTTACACTGCTCTACATCACGCAGCCTTAAATGGACATAAGTAAGTGCCACTGATTTGGACTGGAATCCTTATGTATTCAGTTACATGTGGTGAGGTTAATTATATCTGATGATACCTTTCTCATTTTATCACAAGTCTTCTGGTTTTAGGTAATTTAGAGAGGCACCAGATGGCAACACTGCCAAGTTGCATTCAGTAGGAATATCATTGAGAATGATTGTATTCAGAGAGTAAATTTAGAGCAATGCTCTGAAATAGTAAAAAATCTCACACAGGAGTGATGAAGTGAAAGGACCTTGTTAATCCTGTGTAGCTTTGGGGGGCACAAATGGTTAAAGTCACTTGGCAACTCCTTCTTTCCTGTTTTGATATTTGCCTATATCCACTCAACACAGAAATGTTATTCGTTAGGAGTGAACTCTTACTAGAGTCTTGTCGTTCTAAGTTGTAGGTACTTGGTTAATATTTTCTATATCTTTCACAATCACTTTTCTCAACTCTAAGCTTTTTGAGCTTCTGGAATTATGTTTTAAGCCATGGGATACTTTATATTATGATGCATGAGAGAACATACAACCACCACCACCACTTTATATCAGTGTTTTGATGTTCTGTCTTTTGCGATCAGAAGGAAAATGTCCCTTTTTCTATATCTCCCTATTTGCTGTTCCTTTGCAGGAATGATGTAAGTTCGTTTTCCTCTCTCTGGATCGTTTTATTTCACCTTAGTGTTTTGGATATGGTAATCAAATCATGATTTGATAGATATATCCCAGGTAGGAGAATCAGCAGTTCAAGATCAACACTGCATAGTGAGTTCAAGGGTAGCCTGAGCTACATGAGATACATGAGAATCTATAGCAAAAAAGAGGGACATATATGTATCTATAGATACATTTTCCTCATGTATCACTTATTTTAATTTGATGAACACAGACCTTATACTTCTGTGGCTTCATGGCCTTAAAGCTCTCACTGTAAGAAATTTACAACTTTTGTCATTATTTATCACCATAACAATTTTTGCCTCTTAAAACTTATTGTGTAAGTCTAACATTATCAGTATTTTTAAAGAATCATCTGAATTGCATAAAATATTATAAACAATGTTTTGTTATTTGGATTATTCATATTAGATTTCCAAATTACATCTCTTTTCCTCCTGTTCTTTTTCATATTATATCTTATGATATCTAGCTTAGAATGTTAGTTTTGACAGATGTTTTTATCTTTAATTGTATTTCTACAGAGTAGAAAATATTCTCTTCATGTATTTCACTCTATTTTTTTTTTGAAAACAGGATCTTGCCTATATATAGCCCTGTCTTACCTCAAACTTCTGATCTCTCTGTCTCTGCCTCCTGAATACTGGGATTACAGGTCTGAGTCATTATGCTCAGCCCACACACACTTCTCCTTTAAAGGAGTATTACTTATTCTTATTTGTGATATATATATATATACACACACATATCTTATACATATATATTTTATATACATGATGATATCAGGGTCTGACACAAATTACATCATCTTAAGGCATAAATACTGATGCTTCTTTTTCATCTTAATTTTGAGTTTGGGCTCCTGATGAGGATAAACTCTATCAAGTCTAACAGATGCATATTTTGGGCCTGACCATTTGAATTACACTAATTTCTTATTTTCTCACACTGCACACTATAAGCATTTCTCAAGTAATATCTGAAAGAATTAGGATTCACAGCCCTTTCCAAGGTTCAGTGAAGTGTTTGGTAAACATTGATTTACAAAGATGATTGCCTTTAGGATTCTGACCACTGAGATGTCCAATGAGCCAAGGAAAACATAACTTTTCATTCCTTTTAGCAATTTGTAAAGTGAAGATAATTTAAGGGCATTAAATAGTAATCATGAAGATTGTCATAAAGAGAATAGGGATTCAGCAAGATGTTTTTAAAGATCCCATTTATTGCAGATATTCTGTATTTATCTGAAGTTCTCATTTTACTTTCAAAGTTTTTCTCCATATCATCCTATTATGCATGCTTTGGAAAAAGCAGGAAAAGTGTATAATCTTTGCACTCTCTATTCATAATAGTTTTAGGCTTCAGTTCAGCATAAATCAAATACATTGTCTGGGTAGTCTTTGTGATTACTTCCAATTACATTTTATTATATATATGTTATGCATTGCTTATTTCTCAGTTATGTATTGTGTTATAATTCTGAAATTTGGATTATAATGTGTGTTTCTTGATTTTCATATATTTAAATTATCTTGTAGACTTCTGTAATTAGCCATCGTTTATCCTGCTCAATTCCACTCATTGCATAGATGGACAAAGCAGGCCATTCCAGAAAGTGACACAGTGGCTGCTTCTATTGTAAGGTGGGATTGCACCTAGAACCTAGACATCCTGGTTACTAGTCTATGCTTTTATTAATTCTCTCTGTGGTTCCCCCCCCCGCCCTTATATTTAAACTCTTTATGGCTTTTCTGTGCCACATTATATGTCTCTGAGTTATCTACCATTATCATCAATTAGTACATTCTCATAGAATCCTGAGTTGATATTGCCTTAAGAAAGTTTTTAAAATTACTTTTATTTATATGTTTGTGTATGAGTATAATGCCTGCATTTGTGTAAGTGCATCGGTGTCATGCAATGCCCAAGGAAGTTAGAATGGGGCATTGGATCCCCTGGAACTGGAGTTACTGACTGTTGTTAGCCACCATGTAGATGCTGGAAATTGAATTTGGGTCCTCTGCGAAAACAGCCAGTGCTTTAAGCGGCTGAGCCGTCTCTCCAGGCCCAAGAATGTTATTTTAAAGAGTGAAAACTATCATCAGAGCCAGAAAGGGCTGCTATTTCTTTGATTTGTTTTCTGTTCTCACTTAGCTGAAGGCATTAACAATTGGTTGTGTTCTATTTTTCTCTGGTAAACCATAGCAGACAACGTAAAAAGTATTCTGTGTTTGTTACTGTTGTGGATTTTAGATTGTTTCTATAAACACTTCTTGGCTAAAGTTCATGGACTCCTAGAGCGGGAAGGAATGTCAAGAGTCCAGGAGTTGATTCTTCTGCTTTGAGTGTAGGTTTTATTCCCACCCCAATATATAATCCTAAAGCCTTCATACTGCGAATGAAGTCCATTTCCTCCTATTTTGCACATTTTAATGGGAGCCCTTATTTATCAACACTACTTAATCCACAAGTGGTGTAGCATTTTGTACCTGAAAGGCATTATTTCATATTGAACAATTCATCTCCAGTTAGCTGGGCTGGGCACAATAGAAAATGTACTCTATTGGTGATTTCCTGGGTCATTTGCAATTACAGATTAGACAGTTATTACCTTCAAATGACAGAAAAATCATGGTGAGTAGAACAAAATTTACTAGGAATGATTATAAATATATTACTCTATAAATCTGAATCCCTTAGAATAGCAAATATCTGGTCTTTTCTCCCTCTCGTCTCCTGTCCCTTCCCCTCCATTTCCCTCCCCTTCCCTCCCCTGTCCTCTCCTCCCCTTCTGTAGCCCTCCCTTTCCTCCCCTTCCTGCCCCCTCCCTTCCCTTCCCTTTCCCTCCTGCCTCTTCTGCTTTCTCTCTTACTTCTATTCCTTTCCTCCTTGAGTTTCCTTTTCTCCCGTGTTCTGTTTCCTTCTTTTATTTAATTAATCAGTTAATTAACTAATGTTTGGGATGAAAATCGGCCTCACAAATGCTAGGCAAGCTCTCTACCACAGAGCTACATTTACATTACAGCTCCCTCCCTCCCTCCCTCCCTCCCTCCCGGAAGGAAGACCACAAACTCCATCTAGTTATTCATGAACCAAAGTAAAATAATGAGATTGGGAATAAAGAAATATTCCTTCTCCCCCCACCCCACCAGCATCCAGTTATGGGGAATATGCATTAATATCACGTTTGGTTTTTCCTCTCTTTCACTCCCTCCCTCCCTCCCTCCCTCCTTCCCTTCCTCCCTCCCTCCCTCCTTCCCTTCCTCCCATCTTTCCTTCTTTTTGGGAAGGGTGTGTTGTGATAACTGGGTATTGGTATGTACAGGCTGACTTTGAAAGACTCCTTATCCTCCTATCTCAGCCTCCCAGGAGCTGGGATTACATGCTTAACTCTTTTTTCAAATAATTTTATCTTTCTCAAGATTTTTATTAAACTCAAGTATTTATATTTTATTTCATTTTCTTTCTCTAGGAAATTATGCCTTACTTTTCTTACGTCTTACTTATCAAACTATATCGGCTGTGTTGTGATTCAAATAGTTCTTTCTTTGAGATATGTATACTATTTGATATATGTGGAGTTAAAATGTTTTGTGTTCTTCTTACCTTTTAGTATCTAGAACTCCTAGACTCTGTTATCTGTACTCTAAATTGTATGTTCTATTGAAGCTAGGTTCCAGAATGTAAGCTATTCGTATTTTGATTTTCTTTTTCTTTCTGCTTTTAAAGATGCAGTACCTCTTCTAAAAATTCTATAATCTGGTATCAAAGTTGTTGGAATAACAAGAAACATCTTTGTTTTGATTGCTTTTTTCCCCCTTGGATAAAGATATTAGCTAGTTAAAATTTGCCTTAATCCACTCTATACTCCAGAGCTCTGTGAGAGTGAATCCAGCATGTAAAGAAGCTTCAGTCAGAATGGACCATATTGCCCTGAACTGCTTTGACCACGTCCAACATACCTGCAACTTCATGTGTTTTACAGAGAAACAAATAGCTTCAAGGAAATTTTAATTAAAGAAATCAAAGGAGTTATATGGAATTTGAGAGTTGCATTGGTTTGTTAATTCTGCAGCCATGTGAGGCAGTTATTTTGAACTATTTTGAGACCTACCAACAAGCAAGGGAGAATCTTGTAGGGGCAAAGAGATTTGAATGTTGATCCTCCCAATTACTTTGATTTTGCTTTGAATTTCTTCTGAACATCTTCAAAGACAGAATAATAATAATAAAAATAATCAGAAATGTATTTATACCTGTCAGAACATGAATACAAATTAGAGTAGCAAAAATCAATACTTTCAAATTCTG